CTGTTGTTGGTGGTAGGGTTTGTTGGCGCTCCTACGCTTAAACTATTGATTTCACAAAAAGGTTATGTAGACATCAAAAATAGGAAATTTTCTCTAGTTTTACTTTCTCTCAGCATGTTTTGTCATAAAATTAATCCAAAAGGAAACATTTAAGAAAAACTTCTACTAGGCAGCATTTTTCCAATATTATGACAGCGCGTCTATGTTTCACATACTGTTTTTTGTATGTTTCGCAATATCAAAAATACTAAAGTTAGGTATGTACCATAATGAGTTCGTCATCAAGTAAATTGGGTAGCATTCGTTTCTTTCTTATTTGTTAAAATAAATGTTCATCAAAATTAAAAAAAAAACGTAAATTGGGTGCAGTAAACCAATTGATTAGGGGCTAATTTGGATAATCTTCAAAGTTGTTAGTTGTTGGTAAGTTTTTTCTATTCTATTCTACATATAAATCACATCTTAGCTTGGAACATCAACTCACCGGCCGGGCGGCTCCACTATAAGTAATGAAATGCATACCAAAATAGGTCTTAATAAAAGTAAAAACAAACATTTCCGTAATTTATTTAATTTTGTATTCTATGTTGTGTCGTGTCTGCATCAATCATTGGCTGCTCAACCAGGAGGCGAAGGACGTGACACGAGCGAATCCTGCGGGGAAACCACGCGCGCACCATTGGGTGCCGAACGAGGTGATGCCGATCTGCAATGGTAATTAGCGTTAGCGACATCGGCAAACAACGGGATATAGTTGAGTGGGAAAGACAAAACTTATAACATGAAAGGGCACTGACCAGTTGCCTGTTGTTGCCGGAGCCGACGGCGAGCGGGCCGCCGGAGTCGCCGGGGCAGGTGCTGCTGCCGTGCGCGGTGCTCACGCACAGCGTGGACGCCACGATGGTGTTGCCGAAGGTCTGTCTGCACACGTCGTTGGTGATGACCAACAGGTTGGCTTGGAACTTGCCAGGGTTGGATGAGCCAGAACCTGAAAGAAAATACGTAGGTACTAATTTGAATCTTTGAATCTTTGTTTTAATATTATTTTAGACTAAAGGTAAAAAGGTAAAGGTTTATTCAAACGAAATTTCAATAACAGCGTACTCACCATCACCGTTGCGGCCGTACCCAGCAGCCACAGCCCAGGTGCCCGCGAAGCTGTTCGAGCCGGTGGCCAGGGCGATGCGGTTGATAACGTCTGCAAAGAACGTAGGGTTTAGTGAAAACGTTTAAATTACTTATATGTCACGGTGATATACTATTACTACAATGGTATTTTATTATGATGAAAGAGATGCTTACTGTTAAACGCGACGGAATTGTGTCTGATGACAGCCACGTCGTTGTTCAGGTTGTTAGCATTGTACTGCGGGTGCACGACCACGTTGGTGGTGACCACGCGCGTGCCGCCGGACATCAGCGCGTTGGAGCCCCACACGACGGTGAACTGGCGCGCCTGCATGGAGTTGGTGCGCCAGCAATGCGCCGCCGTCACCGAGCGCGTGTTGCTGATCAACGAGCTGCCGCAAATCGACAACTGTCCAGTGGTCAAGGTGATGACGAGCCCTCCCTGTACAATAAAATAAATATTACTTCTGCACAATAATTATGGTTACGATTGCGTATGCACCAGTATTTTAAATTCCATTTTTGCACCTCCAACAATTAGAGAAGAGTGTTGAATGTTGATTCCACCAATAACATCCCGGAGTCAAAGCGTGTGATTGAATTGTTATAAGAGAAAAGAGGACTTGCCAGGTGAGGGTGCGCGCCGGCGCCCACGGCCTGGCCGCCCCAGATGCGGCCGCCGTCGAAGTCCGTGCCCTCCTCCAGGCGCTGGATCTCCTGCATGCGCGGGATGCCCTCGGTCTCGTGGTAGCGCGTGTTGGGCTGCAGCCGCTCCGCGGCCGCCGCCGCCACCACCAACAGGAACAATACAGCAGACTTCATTGCGACGGCTAATACTGGGACGACACAGTTATTACTTTACAGTTTCTATTGTTTTTATATGAATGATACATTGCCAAAACTGATTATTTTCTTATCTTATCGAAGGGATTAGATAATAATACAATAATCACATAATGCAACACAATAAATTTCATATCCTAAAGGGGCACGGCAGTATGTATGCCAAGTTTCGTATGCAGTTTTGGGTCTGGTATCGAGTGCGCCCGCCTATCCGCAACCCAAGAAGACAGAAACTTAACGGGGCAGGTCTCGTCAACTCGATGGGCATGTTATACCGGGCCCGTGAGGAGAAAACCCCTATAAAAAACAACTGCTGGAGCCATAGCCTGAGATGGAGCTGCTGGCGAAGTTAGGACAATAACTCCGCGAATACCGCGATTAAGAATAATTAACAATTTTTTTGTATCCACAACGAGGAAGCTCTTGGCCTGTATCTCACCTGATGGTAAGTGACGATCAGGCCGAAGGTGGAAGCGAGCTTCACCCGGAATCCTCAACCACGGAGGAACTGGCTATCTTACCTCTAACTTCCGGAACGCAATAATGCTGTTAACATTGTTGTTATGGCGACAGACTTAGGTGAGATGGTGGTAGCTAGCCAGGCGGACTTAGAACAAGCCCTACCACCAACAAAACCGAACAGAAAAATCTGCCCCCACTGAGAAGTTGTTATTAAGTGTTTAGTTATTAAGTTGTATTGTTAAAATTGTTCTATAGAGCTTATTAAAAAAATTTGATACTGATAACGAAATCACCCTGTATAGTATAATAATAACTAATTATTGATTATCTACTAATATTATTTTTTTGTCATCAATCTCATCGTGATGGTTGACGAACAAAAATAATTGACATTATTGACAAATCTTGGCCGATTTTTAATATTGATATAATCATACGTAATTATCAAATAATAATTTATTTATTTATTTAAGGATAGTACACAGCACAATATCAATCTGTGATAACAATGATAATAATAGAGAAGGCTTTATAAAAGCATGATTGATTTTGTTAACGCAGCAAGAAATTATGCTCACTCATATTATAATATCTAATCTTTCTCAACGACTCGTGCATTTAATTGATCATGTGAGACTTTAAACTTTTACATCTGGAAGATATTTTTTGGTATTACCTATTATCTTATAATAAGTTTTTACTCGTGCGTGGGACGTCCACCTACAAGGTGGACCGACGACATCGTAAAGGTAGCAGGGAAGCGCTGGACGCAGGCCGCTACCAATCGATCAACATGGAAAGCATTGGGGGAGGCCTATGTTCAGCAGTGGACGTCCTGTGGCTGAAATATAAATATAATGGTGTATGTCTTGTTGGTGTTAATAAATAAATAAATAAATAAATAAAATGATGATGATGATGAAGTTTTTACTCGCTTATAAAAGCAAGCGGTTTTTATTTATTAATTACTAGCTGTTACCGCGTCTTCGTACGCGTGAAAATATGTAGTTTGAATAATATTTCCCGCCTTTGTAACATTTTTCTTTACTGTTCCGCCCCTATTGGCTGTAATATTATATAGCATAAAGCCTTCCTCGATAAATGGGCTTTCCATCACCAAAATATTTTTTCAAATAGAACTAGTAGTTGCTGAGATTAGCGCGTTCAACCAAACAAAGAAAAAGAAGAAACAAAGATTCGATTGTTTGGTTGCATTGAATAGGCTTCGAAACTGCTGAACCGATTTGAAAAATTATTTCATTATTAGAATATTAACAATAGTTAATTTATAACATAATATGTACTATAAAATATGGATGAAACACATGATTGTGACAGACCGAAATTAACGCTGGCGAATCCGCGGGTATAAGCTAATGTATTAAATACGTAACATAATATTATATGAGTATTGATTGACTATGTAAATAAAAATAATACATCCAATCATGCCTTCATTTTTTTATTTTAATAATCGACACAAGCAAAACCAGAAAATAAAATAGGCAATTCACGTTAATAAAAACAATCTGTTTTTATTATTATGGAATAGAATCAAAATCTTGTTCATAGAAAACTAAACATTATTGATTAGATATCAAATATTATTATAATAGGTACCTTTATCTTGCTTTAATCTTTAGCATTTGTTACCTACTTACGAAATTATCTCAATCAATACTGTTAAAATGTCGTGTGTGTGACCTCTGTGACATTATTAATTTAAAATAGTTATATTGTTTAACTTGTTGGCGCTTTGGAATTTCTGTAAGCCTTTAATTAGCTTATTAAATAAATAAATAAATAAAATAGTCATTAAAATAAAATAACAAAAAAATAGTTAATAATGTTATGTTATTTTTAAATAATATTTAACGCAAAGAATCAACAACAAATACTCGTATATTACTCACGAGTCACTCTGCACCCCGCATGGTAAGATCGAGGCCGTATAGTTAATTATCTTTATTTAGAAACAAAAGCCTTTACTTATATGTCTTATTATTTCGGTACAGGGGCGCCAATCTGGTGAGTGCAGATGCGAATCATGCAATAGTCCATTTTAGTCCTTCAGCTTCAGCGCTCTCCGGCTGGCGTCACCATCGTAGCCACATCGCCACTAGCGAGTGCTGTGCTAGACCTCACTCTCCAGTGGCGGCGCCCCGTCCGTCCCTGTGCCTGTCCCATTACTGACCGCAAACTTCATGGTCTCCAAATAGGACTTTTAAATATATTTTTGACACCACTGATTTGATTTACCTACCATTTGACCTAAATAACTATTACTGACCTTTAAAATGTAAGTGAGCTTACAGATAGATCGAAATTAGATGTATTACCTATTGTAATTTAAAAATTATAACACACTAGATTACCGCCCGCGGCTTCGCCCGCGTGGAATTTTTCGGTTTTTTATATAACCTATGACACTCTGCAATAACGTGGCTTTCTATTGGTGAAAGAATTTTTAAAATTATTAGTTGGGACTAGTTGGGATGGGATAATGTATGTTATCAATTTCGTAAGGTAGGATTCGGGAACGAACACAAGAAAAATGAAAAGCAGCATTACATGAAAACAAATTTTATTCGTTGACTCTCCGGCAAACTTAATTGGTCCACCTTATTATTGCTTCTAACTAGAATAGTGCGAGCTGCACGTGCGACGTAGGCCTGCGGGCCGGCGCGGCGCGGGCGCAGGTGGACCAGCCAAGTTGCCGCGGCGGCGAACCGCTCGCGCACCTACTTTTTCACTTACGCTAACTATGTACAAAATTAGTACCCGTTTTACCAACGTACTCGTATATCGAGACTATATACAGAATAGAAAATAGGCGCGGGCAGGCGTGAACCTCGGCCCGCGCTCGCGAACCGAACAGTATCGAAGAGAGTCCCACTCGTCGGTCGGCATCGGCGCCGCCGGGGTCACTGGGGCGCGGCGGGCGCGGCGGGCGCGGGCGCCGAGCCCGAGGGCGGCGAGCCGGCGTCGGCGCTGGAGACGCGCGCGAGGGCCTTGTACAGCGGCGAGTTGACGAACCGCGGGTACGAGTCGCGGTGCATGAGCGTGTAGATCTGCAGCTGCGCCTCGTCGAACGTGTGCGGCGTGGGCTCCACCATGTTGCGGTTGACGACCTCGCGCACGCGCGAGTCCAGTGACACCTGCAACAAACCAATACATTCAGTTCCCATAGAATTCTGCAGTTCCTATTAAAACTTAATGAATTACAGAGAAGTCCAACTCTTAGGACCAAGTCCATTTATATTCAAATAATCTTAATAGACTATGTAAAAACTTTTAATTGTTAAGCTAAGTAAGTATTTTTAATTATTTCGGTGACCATCTTGAAATATGAAGATTTTCACAATGACTCGCGCTGCCCGCATCAAGTAAATTATTTAAACAAGTTGAGTGCGCTTTGTAAACCTCGTCCACGATCCTAACAAAAGATAATAAAATAATCCCTGAAGGACCCTCGAGGGTGTCAAGCTGGTCTCTCCGGCGCTACAGCCAGGCCTGAAGCTGCCAAGCGCGCCTACCTCTTTGGGCGACAGGATGGAGAGTAGTCCTCGTGATGAACCGCGCCTTCGCGTCGAGGTGTCAAGCTGGCCTCGCCGGCGCTACAGCCACGCCTGAAGCTGCCAAGCGCGCCTACCTCTTTGGGCGACAGGATGGAGAGTAGTCCTCGTGATGAACCGCGCCTTCGCGTCGAGGTGTCAAGCTGGCCTCGCCGGCGCTACAGCCACGCCTGATGCTGCCAAGCGCGCCTACCTCTTTGGGCGACAGGATGGAGATGTAGTCCTCGTAGATGAAGCGCGCCTTCTCCTCGACAGCGTCGGGATCGGTCTCGCGCTTGAGTTCCTCGCACGCCAGCCAGAACATAATGTTCTCCTCCGAGTACTCGCCGCGTAGGAAGTCGCGAAATACTTTACGTCCGGCTGCAAGAGACAAAATTAATTAATTACCAACCATACAAAGATAAAAGGGATTTAGTGAAATCTCATACTTTTATAATTGTATGAATTTAATGTATGGATAAGTATGCTCGCACTGCTTGTGACTTTCTAGTGTACTAATAAACAAATAAATAGAATAGGCTCGAGTAACCTTACTAGGTTACTTCAATCAAGCCCTTGAAGTCAACAAAAGCAGATTACAGGCAGTATTTAATATAACCACTTTACTTTTAATTCGGCACGTTACCTGCACTCCGCATCAGTCGGTCGAACGACTGTCCCCAACTCTGGATCTCCTCAAGTGTCGGCCTGAAATTAATCGCAACTAAGTTAAGATTATGAAACAATAGATACCGTAGAGTAGCACAGATAAAGTAGTTAGGTACTAGACTAGGTATTTAATCCAGATTCCAGACCCGGTTTGTTTTGTGTTGTACGAGTAGGAATACAAGCACAAAAAGTGAATAATATCGAAGTTGATTTATGCTACTGATTTTAATCAACTATAGTTGACCTATAGGTAACTCAAAGTATTGCATCATCAACAGTAGAATGACAGGTCCTGGGAAGGAATAAGCCTGGCAAAGACGGTATTCAGAGACTGTAATCTGTAGAACTGAATGTTTGAAAATAGTTTTTTTATCTACAATGAGGACGCTCTTGGCCTGAATCTCACCTGATGATAAGTGATGATCAGGCCGAAGGTGAAAGCGAGCTTCACCCGGAATCCCCAACCACAGTGGAACTGGCTATCTTACCTCTAACTGCCGGAACAAAACAATGATGTTAACATTGTTGTTATGGCAACAGACTTAGGTAAGATGGTGGTAGCTAGCCAGGCAAACTTAGAACAAGCCCTACCACCAAAATGTGCCCCCACTGGGAATCAAACCCGGGACCACTACGTCTGAAGCAGGTGGTCTTACCACTAGACCACAGAGGCGGTTAGATGTGTTGCATGATCAAGCCACGTCACCTTAAATGTCTAGTTGTATAATTCAGATAGCTGAATTATCTATCTCAATCACTTTTAGCATCTTTTAGTTAGGGGAGAATGGGGACAATTGATCCTTACGGGAGACTAGATAGTAAGGAGGGGGGATGGAGGTTGTAGATAACATTGGATTTACAGATCTTCTGTGAACACTATAAGTATTTTATAATTTTAGAGTGGCAACATTTGTAGTTTATAGTACGGTCTAACTTTCTGAAGTTGTTACTTATGTCTTTCATTGTTGAGCATTATGTCGAGCAGATGGCAAATGATTGTGTGTTTCGTGTTGCAGGAAAATATATACACAGGTATAAACACTGTAAATCACTGTGATAATTGTCAGTAATTGATGTAGATCGTTTGGGTAGATATTGAGTTAATACCGAGACCATTCGCCAGGGTAGAGTCAGTTCAGTGGATGCGTGAGTAGGGTTGCCAGGTCCGGCTTTAACCGGCGACATGTTTGGCTTTTTACGGACTTGCCCGGCCAATTATTGTCTTGTCCGGCTTTTGTTAGGTTTTTATATGTGGCTGCCGCGCCAGTAGAAAGTCGAGCCACAGAATGTTCAGTCGAAGAAGGTGGTACTCACTCATGAGCTATGACACTAATTGCACCACGTGATATAGCACTTAGCTATAAGGTATGTCATGCATGTCATCATGTATGCCAAATGAAGCACAGAGTCCTTTTGTAATTTTGGAGCTGGCAAGCCATGCGCGAGGAACACAGAAGGCGGCACTTACGGCGCGTCGCCGTCGGCGAGCAGCGGGTCCTGCGGGCCGGGCTCGCGCGGCTTCTTGCCCGGGCCGCCCTCCGAGCCGCGCGCCGCCAGGCTGACAAACACACACACTTTAACACGAACCTTTAAACAATCTACTAATATCTTAAGGAAATTATTATAATTATTAATTTCAATTTAATCATAATTATAAACTTATTCATTTCATTATTAATTAACATCAAATAATTGTTTTTTCTGAGTAAGGTGGACCGACGATCTGGTAAAGGTCGCAGGAAGAACCTGGATGCGGGCAGCGCAGGGACGTTCATTATGGAAAGCCTTGGGGGAAGCCTTTGTCCAACAATGGCCGTCATTTGGCTGAAACGAACGAACGATGTATAGTATTAACTCGATTTGTATGTTGTGTGCACTTGTTATTGGAGCTGCAACAAGTTATATTTTATAACCTGCTTTATATGCTTTGGTATGTTATGGTTGTATCTCTGTTTTGTGCACCAAATAAAATAAATAAATAAAAACCAAATGCTATAATTCCTCCTCACTCCACAAACCTCAATGCATGAAAGTTATTCGTTATATTTAGAAATTGTTATATTGAAATGAAAAGGTAAAATGTGCATTATATCCGATATCAGTTTCAAATTTTTCATATTTTTATATGTACAGATAATATTGCACCCATCTGTGCACGCTTAACGATTGATACCTACACTACATACTCGTATTATTACTTAATACGAGTACGTGTCATTTCTATTTAAGTAAGCATACTTTCGGTGTACAAAGTTGGACATTTAAAATTTTAAAATTAATATTTTTACTGAACCATTGGTGAAATTAAAAACCACCCGACGACGTAACATCGGAGGCAGCCCAGAAGGCACACGCTGTAGCCCAACGACGGCATGCCGGCAGTTGCTCGTACTCACCACTTAGCCCTGAAACAAGAAATAAGTATTTAATTGTACATATATTCCTGCCTTATGAATATTATTTTAACAACAATAATAAATATTAATTAACATGTTTTGTTTCTTTTTAACTCTAAATTAACCTCACGAATGTTTCTAATAGATTGCCACTAAAAATTAATGATTGCATCCTGTTTTTACTATCATGTCAATTACCCATGTTGGTACGAAAAAAACAAAATTTCAGTAAAAAATACCTATTTAAATTATCGCACAACTTGCCACAAAGGTACTTTGTCGTTTTGAGCCGTTTGAGTAAAACCGCAGACCGCAGAGATCCGCTCGTACACCGACCCGCATCTTATATACATTTTGATCGGCCCGCGCCAGGCGACAGGCTGCACGTGCGACACTCACCAGGAGCACGAGCAGCAGCAGCACCAGCACAGACAGCAGGGCTTGGCGGCGGGCGCGGGCGCGGGCCGGCAGCCGCGCGCCAGCGCCGACAGGCTGCACATCTGCAACCGACAACCGTTCACTACACACACGGCACAGCACGACGAGAGGTGTTTCTGAATGCTTACTTACATTACCGAGTGAATAATACTCGTAAGTACTACTTATTAATACTACACTGGCACTGACCTGGCCTGCAAAATTAAGTACCACACTTTAAAAAAAATACCTGTAATAGGGATGTTTCCTGGGTCAAAAAGCAAGAGTTTTAATTATTCCGTCAGTTAACTTATCAAAAAATACTCTACACGTATTTTTCACTTTTTCAAACTAATGAAAATTGAAACAGATAAAGCGCGCCAAAGTTCATAAGAAGAGGCCCGTGACGTCAATGCGTGCATAAAAGTGCCGCACGTTGTGACGTCGTGCGGAACTTCAACGCACCATAACTATATAATTTGTGAGATTGACAAATAAAAATATATGTGTCCAATATTTTTTGATATTAAACATTACGGACTAAAAAAATTTTTTTAGGAAACTAGCAACCATGTTAAAATGTATGAACTGTATGTATGTGACTTTGTTGGTGTACCTAATAAACTCTTTTTCAGGTTTTTTTTTATTTAAAATGTATTGATATATACTTTTGCAAGCCAGTTGTGTTCAGCTACAATCAGGGTGCAAAAAAACCCAACTACGACAAAAAACGACGCTGAAAAAGTACAAAACAAGATTTTCAGAATACTGAACTGAACAAAGTTGCTAATGTAGTTGCATAGTAATTTTCACGTTTGGAAAGGCGTAGTCACACGTTGTCAAAGTGCTACGGTAGGTAGGTNGAGTAATAAGTAGTAAAGAAGCTATGAACGAAAAGATGTGAATTATATGCAATCAGCCCTTGAATACAGGTAAAGTCACAAGCAAATGCTAGTAATATATATATATTCAAAATGTGCAAATAAAGCGCTTTCAAATGATACCAAACACGGCATATTTATCTTAACTTTATTTTTTAACTCTGTATGTTTTGTCCGCTAGAGGGCGCCACATTAGATTTTGTGAAACCCCATATAGCCTATAACCAGCGGACAATTAAGACGCTTCTAATGATATGTCATTTGTCGAATTCTGATAAGTAGTTTAGTAGTTACGAGGGAACACATGAACATACATACATACATACATACATACATACATACATACATACATACATAGCCTGTCAAAATCATAACCCTCCTTTGGCTTTGCCGTAGTCGGGTAATTAATCATTTGCCATGAGCTGTATAATCAAAAAAATAGCTGGTTTAGATATCTAAATAATTTATATTACCTATGTAGTGGCTAAAAGTGGCAGTAGATAACCTAGTCTATCACATGAAAGCACGAGAGCATCCCAATCCCTGTTATCCTATACCTTCCTTTTACAATTCTTATAGATAAATAATTATTATTTATTAAAAATAAACAAGCAGCTTGTACGCTTACAGAAATTCCAAAACGCCAAAAAGTTGTATACGACGAATACATAATATAACTATGTGCTGATCGCTTTAGGTACTCCATGGGCCAGCCAAAGATATCGGTAAATTCAACCGTTAATTAGTAATTAATAAAGAATGAAAATTTTCCCACTTTTGTGCTACTACTTTTTAGAATTTGTTGGTGTACCTAATAAATAAATAAAAAAATGTAAGTACCAACTCTACATACATACGTAAAGCTTTCTAATAGGCAAAGCAATTAAGTATCTTTAATTCCATATACCTATTAACATGTATGTTATATTGTATATTAATATAAAAAATAAAAATAAAATAAAAAGCGTCTGATAAATTAACATCACAATGTTTACCTACTTCCGTTAACGTTCAACATTGACTAAATAACTGCGTACAGAATAAAAAGCTTCTGCTGGAAATTAAACTTATGTAGGTAGCTTACAAAAATGTTATATTTAATAGTTTTAAGCAATTAAATTAATAAAAATAATTATCATAAATTCAAAGTACAGGTTAAGAAAATCCTTATGAAAAAAGGATACTATAAAGTAAATGATTATTTAAATGACAAGAGTGCGTGGATTTACCTGCCTAGCTCGCCTTATTGTCGCACTTATCATGTAAGCTATAAATTACTGTATTGGATTGAAAACGAGGCTGACAAAGGTGACTTAGTTTCTTCCGCCACTTCTTCTCAGCACCAGCTCATATTATGTTGTCCCGAAGTGGTGGTAGGGCAAGCTATTATTTGGGACGTGTATAAGTGCCCAGGAAAGGGCTTAATGCTATGTACTGAATAAACGATTCAATTTTTTAATTTATTTTGTAAATAGTTTTTATTTATTTTATTTTTATTTTAAGTTTATGTAAATATGTTATAAAATTGTTTATTGAATAAATAATAAAACAACTATTTGAATTTAAATTAATTTTGGGGTTCTGGTTGATTTTTAACAATTTTGGATTGGCTGTCAGTAACTACTATGTAGAGATGACAATCGTGGTTTTGACAAGTTAACGCTACTTTGTGCTTGAAAGCACATTTCATCGCCTCTGTAAATTGTGATTTTAAACATGTATGAAACCTTTACATATCTAATACACCACCCCAAGCTAAAAGCATAATATCTCGCTTGCTTTTCTACAGACTTTACGAGACAATTCTACTAATATTATAAATGCGAATGTTTGTATGGATATAACTACCTAACATGTTACTCTTTCACGCAAAAACTACTGAATGGATTTTGAGGTTTACAGTATTATTGTTTATACATCATAATAACATATAGGCTATAATTTAAATGATCTGTGGCAAATCTAATTTCACGCAGATGAAGCCGTGGGCAAAAGCTAGTACAAAAATATTTTCTTTCTTTTTGTTTCTTAAGCAGGAGAAACAATTGCAACGAGACCGATATATTCTATGATATTTTTCCATATCCTTAAATTAATCATAATTATCATAATATTTTATTGCTGTAGATTATATCAAGTAATTTAGTTTTAAAATATTTTAATACCATCCATATAATGTATGTGTCTATTATAATAAACGTTGTTCAACATTCAATGGCACTGCGACACAACGAATATTATTACGCTTTGCTGAGAATAAAATCCACAAAAAACATGAGTAAAGCATATCGAGTACCTATCTTCGTTAAATAAGCATAATTTCAACATAAACATTATATTAATATGGGCAAAAATAAAAACACGTGAAAAATAAATTAATATTTGTGAAAAATAAAAGAAAGCCTAGAAAATACGAGTTATGATACTAAATATTTTTAAATAAAGCCCGATGTTAATCAAGCACAGCCCCACTTTGAACTTGCTGTGTTAACTCTTGTACTATTGATTATAGGGGTAAGTACTTTCCGATTAACAAGTGTACAAATATCTTTTGTATTTAATTTTTTAACATTTTTTGTTAAATACTTACCTATATTATTATTATCTACCAATGCGAAGCCGAGATGGGCCGCTTGTTATTCGTGAAGCTTGGCAAATTAGTTAATTTGCAATATTCTAGCATATCAAGCTTATTCAATTAGAACACTTGGTTGGTTCATAACAACTGTTAAAGTACGACGTAAGAATCCTTAGCCCTACATGAAACTTTATCTAACAGTTCTATGGACGTATAGTAATTTCATTCACTGAGGACAAAGGTCAGTCTACGAACTTTACAATGACGAAGCAATTCATTCATGTATGTTTGGTATGCAAACTGGTAGGTACCCACGGCACGTCAAGATGATGGCAAAATAAATTGACCCTAAACATGTTATGGCATGGCACAAACCTCACCTATGATTACGCCGTTGTTTATAAAACATTCACAGACAATTTTGAAGCACGTCTAGTCCACTAATCATCACTGACAAAGCCAAAAGATAAGGAATAACACACATTTTTGTAACTCTATCGTTATTAATCCACTAAATAAAAAGATTGCAGAGTTTTTTAAAAGAAAGTAGTAAGACAATGCCAGTAGTGATATGTTAAGCAGGTGACAGGGTCGTAGCAGCTCTACGGCGGGTGAAACTGCCGAGAAAAGTATCGATTGAAGCGGGAGTTGGTGCTCCCGTGCAGCGGGCCCGCGCCGGTGAAGCGGCCGGAGCCCCGCCCACACTTCCGACTGGATTCGTGAATTGCCGCGATTTTGCACTAAACACTGAACACGACTGTTCCACAGTTCACGGTAAAACCATTTCATATTTTTTACAAATATGAAATTCCAAACGAAGAATTGTAAACAACCTGCGGTTCCAGAGTAATAACTGACAGAACATTGTATGTACTTTTCTTTTTTTAATGAATTATTGCCTACTAGAATCGACCTCTAGTCCTGAAACCATTTTGTTAAAACATTTCAGATAACTATAGGGATGTGTTATTATTGGGATTTTGAGATAAATGTAGTTTAACCATTATTTTCAAAATTATGCAAAATGTAGAACATCTATGAGTAAAATCTCTATTTTTGTGTTTCTTTATAGGTACGAGTATATTTTGTTAGTAATGTTTTATACAGTGTAAATAATAAGTAAAACACTAATGTGAGTTGTACGCATATGCGTTTTGTACAATCGCGTGCTGTATAATATAATATTAGTTCTATAGGTTAGTGCACAGGCAGCTGAGTAAATACAACATGCTATAACAGTAGGTACGAGTATTGCCAGTACTACGATCTAAATATTCACACTTTAAAGTACTGCGTGCCAATATCGAAGATCAGGGCATAACAACGCATTTTTGAGAAAATTCATAAAAATGGGAAAACCAGCAAAATATAGTAGAAACGAACTGAGGACATAGCGCAAACGAGCGAATGCACGACCAATGCAGCAAGCTTTCTCGAGCTTAAAGCGCATCGTGGAACCGCCGCCCGCGCCCGCGACCTAACGATGATGTGATTAAGTAATTGTCGGAAATTTAATGAGAGGCTAGCACTGAATGTCTTTGATGAAGATTGTGCCGGTATGCACAATACTAAATCTCTTCATATCTTATCTTGATCACGTTCACAGTGTCAGCACATTTATCACGTATAGTGCTGATGCTGTGACGTCATTTACCTTTAATCTATATCGTATAAATAGTCACACAGTTCGCATTAATAAACAGATTAATATCAGAGACTAACTACAACACGTGTCTCATTCATTCATACAACATGGCACAAAGATCATTGGGGACAACCTACAATGTTATGTTCAGTAGTGGACGTCTTAGGGTTATATTCAGTTATTAATGTAATGTTTGATAGAATTACAGCATCTGCATTACTAACAAAGACGGTTTACAAAAAATATTTACGGGTAACTTTCGGGACAACCTTAAAGGGAAATAATTATGCGACAAATCTTTCATTAACTCGGAAGTGAGTAAAAAAAATAACGGATGTATATCTCGGATGTTAAAAAGCTCTACATTGCTAGCTATGCCCAGCACTATCGTAGTACCAGTTTGTTTACTTTTCAGTATCACTCTATTATATTATTTTGTACTATATTTATACAGATAAATCTATCATTATATAGTATTTTATAGAGAATAATGAGATATTATTATTACAGCATTTTACAATGAGATTTGTGTTTTTTATCAACACTGACCTTTCATAACTACAAGATATCTCCCGCTTAGAACAAAACAACATGATATCTGCTGCTAGCTGATAGCTACGGAAGTGCTGATACGAGATGTGACGCTAAAATAAATATAATTTGGAGGGTAGTAGGTGAGGGTCGTCCAGATCGGGCGCGGGGGCTGCGCGGCGCGGGGGGGCGGGCGCGGGCCACGTATTTATAGTCAAGCGCTCCCATTGAGGCGGCGGCGGCGGGCGCGTGTTTACTGCGCCGCTATATCCGTGCGCCGCGTGTAAACAACGCGCGCGCGCCGCCGCTCCCCTCCTGCAGGCGCACCGCGCGCGACCAGCGCCGGCCGACCTCAACCGGACAAGCAGAAACCTTCGCCGGGGACGGCTCCCGGCCTCGCGCAGCCATGGATGCGCGGGCGACCACTGGGCGCGGACGAGGGCTCCGAGGGTCCGGCCCGGCGCGGCATCGGGACCTCGAAAGCGGCCGACGATCGATCACGGACGCGCGAATCGGGCCACTCCAGCGAACGGCACACGGTCAATATCCAGGATGCACGCTGCGGGCGGACACATGCGCGGCATCGATCGAGGCGTCAGCGGCGACGACGGCCGCGGAGCTCACCTGCCGGCGGGCGGCGGGCTGGGTGCGGCGGGCGCCTCGCCGGCCACGCCGGCGCTAGCGGNCCCGCCGCCCCGCCCGCCCGCTGCGCGCGCCGCCCGCCCTGGCCGATTACGCATCGGCGCCGGCCCGAGCGCCGAGCGCCGGCGGGCCGACTCGATCGCTCGCACGAAGAGAACTTTCCTAGACGTTGCGAGGCGATTCGATGGCGACGATAAAATGATTGATGAAGCTCCGGCGCGATGTAGGTCGCGCGGCCACGCATGTACACCACGCCCGATGTAACCTAATTAACGCGAAAGCGCCGAGTACATGCGTTGCGATGACATCATTGTGATCGTTACTCTGTTACCATAAACACAAATAAATACGTATTGTAAGTATTTATGCGGCTGATACTTACATTACATTTAGATTACATTACTCGTATGTTAGAGTAGAAATATATCTAACGACAACAAGTATTGTAACAACCCAAATTCGTAATAAATCTTGAATATTTTGTTTTATTTATCTAATTACCAATAATCCAACAGTAAAGGTTAAGATACCTCTACAATAGACAAAACTCTATCTAATTGCTCTTAGATTGGCCCAATTTCCGAGCGAATGGCTTCTGGCTTGCTCTTCTGTGTCTGATTAATTTATAGGTTTTTGTTTGTTTCTTCTCAACGACATACTATTGTGATGGATGGTTACCTATCCATTAACTTTAAATTAATATTACAGGTACAACAAAACCAAACACGCCCATGTATGATGTATATGTAATATTCTATTTAAGGACTTTTCCCACGGCTGCAACTCCTGGATAAATTCAATGAGTGAAATATAAATTATCAACTATGTATTAAAAAGACAGCTAAAGAGCCTGGATGCGGGCAGCGCAGGACCGTTCATTGTGGAAAACCTTGGGGGAGGCCTATGTCCAGCAGTGGACGTCATTTGGCTGAAACGAAGATTAAAAAGACAAAGCTTACCCATTATAACTACATAATTAATTATGAATGCTTTATCCATGTTTGTGACGCATGTAAACGAACGCATTATACAACCTGTATAAGCAATATCGAATAATGCAGTGCAGTACTTGCAATGCAGTAATTTATTTATTTATTTATTACGTACACCAACAATAATAATAAGTAATGCATGTTATATTCCTGTTACAATATAAAAAAGTTTTGAGTCTATAACACTATACTAGTATTATTATGTAAACTAGTAACACTTAATAAGCTATTTAATATAAAGAATTTGAATTTAAAAAGCTACGACTGCAATAAATTATGAGAATGGTGGAACGGTTCGTAGCTAGCGTAGCTCCGTAGGCAGCCGTAGCTGGCCGTAGCTCCGTAGCGCTCGTAGCGGCTACGAGACCTTCACCGGTTCATTAAAGAAATACTAAATTATTTCAATGTAGAAACTTCACGTAAATCAAAAATTAAAACTTCGTCGCGTTTCTAGGAACTCTTAATTAATTCTAACTTTAAACATACAAATTACATAAGTATCTAATTATGACGAAATGACTTCGGTGTAAAAAACAATATTAGGTAAAAATGAGTTTAGTAGACTGATCCATAAAGCGCTAATGGAACTTTGTAGTTTGTTGAATTTTTGGCGATTGGTTGACAAGTTTTATCTATTTATGCTTATTATGCACAGCATTTTACCCTCGAGAAAGCTCTAATCCGATTTTACCCGTGATATCCCAGAGCAGAGTACTGTTACTGCATTTCAGAGTTAAAATTAACCAATTTTGACTACATCTTGGACCGTATCTTTGAGAGCTGTCTTGTGGTATTCAGTTACGCTTTAGTGATTTCTCTTCAAACTCGATTCAAAAAACTATTATTTTGTATATCACATTTTAATTAAATGACATCATCCTTGATTACTTTGTCAATTACCGTCGATGCAATTGTTTGTTTTTTCATAGTGGTATGGTAGATTATACCAAATATTCTTTAACGCATTGAATCCTGTAAGCGTTCGAACGCAACGGGGAAGGTGGAAGGCTCATCCGCGTAGCACGTACTTAGATAGTCGGTCAATACTCGGCGTGAATGGGTGCGGGCGGGCGGCGGGCGGCGGGCGGCGGGCGGGGGCGGTGGGCGGAGGGGGCGGGCGGCGGCGGGTGGCGTCAGTCGCGGCCGGCGCGCCGCCCGGTGCTGACTCGCCTCTCGCGCCCTGCCGAGCGCCGGCGCCGCATCGACCGCCCGCCCCCACCCGCTGCGCCTCTCCCGATCGATAGCGGCCTGCGGCTCTCGTGCGGACCACGCTTCCACGGACGCGTACCTAGGTGAGCGACTCCGGCCGCGAGGCTGTCTCCGGAGCGGGCCGCTCGCGCTGCGGCGCCGGCGGGAGCAGGCTGCAGCGGCAGCAGCTGGTGGCGCGCGCTCGCCCATTGATGGCGGAGGCCGGGGGGCCCGCACCGCCCGCAGCCTCCCGCGCCCGCGACGCGTCTGTCTATCTGCGTAGGTATAATGACATGCGTGAATGTAAATAAATCACACTCCCGCGGCCGCACCGCAAACTATTTCCGTGATTTATCGATCTATGAGTAATCGCGTTGCTTTGTGGTCCGCGTGTCTGCAGCGGTGGCCCGCGGCAGGCGCTGACGCAGCGCGAGTGCGATATGCGCGAGGCTTTGACGCGGAGGGAGGTAAAAGGACTTGACGCAGGGTGTAAGCGGTGAAAGTTATCATTTTAGATCCTTTGATGAACTGTTTTTATTTGTTATAAAAACATGTGGAATACTTAAAACCCCTTTTACCATTTCTCTCGCATAATAATCTTTCAAGTACCGGTTCACTCCAATCAATACTGCTTGAAGGTTAAGGATAAAGCAGGGTTTAGTTAATCAATCATTACTTTATCAAGAGGGAATCCCCACATTTCCTATACACAAATATCGCGGCCGTAGCGGCCACGGTAGCGGCCATGTAGCCGCGGCAGGCCCTTGTCGGTGACTGTACGTACACTGTACACATGCCGCATGATGAATCCGTAGCATTCGTAGCATCGCGCCTAGCTTTACTTACTAACTTCGTTTTACTACGTGCGTCCTCATAACCATTTTTACGTACGCTTTACATCAATTTACATTTTGTAACATAATTATTTCAAGTTGATTGGAGTAAACATTTATTTAACTCAATTTTTTGCAACAGCCTTGCCAAGCTAGTCCATGTTTTTTGTTTTCACATAGCATTAGCATTCGTTTTCACAACGAAAAAGAAGTACCTAATTAGGTACTTATGTAGATGTAAGCATACTCGTATTCAGTTTGTTAAATATAAATATGGCACTTGTAACGTCACTGGTCTTAATTAACCGAATTCAAAAAAAGAAGGAGATACTCTATTCTGTTGATATGTTTTTTAGGAACAAAAGGACCATGAACACTCATTATTTTCTATTCTAGTCACCTTTTGGCTCCATTACCAGATCGACTGCAAGACTAAGTTCCAAAACTACAATTCAATCGAACTCTAGTGTTAGGTTGATTAATTATTACCTACTTATTCCTTAGATTAGATTGCATTCCGACAAACAAACTGGTGAATAAAACGAAAAGCCCACAAAAAGTTTTCCGAACTTTGGTGTCAGTCAGACCCAAGCTCATAATAAAATGTGCAAATGTGAGTCGCGGGCCGCGGGGCCGCCCGGGCGGGCGAGGGGGCTGCAGGGCGGGTGCATCCCATACTGCTGCCTCCAGCGCCCGGAGTACTAGCCGCCACGTATCAGCTGTGTTGCCCAAACACACGCTAGGCAGGGAGGGTGCCGCGCTTAAATACTATGGTCATTGACTTTATCTCATTAATGTTTAAGTATTATGTATATCAATTATAAATACGGTGGCGCACTATCGTATGTCAGAAACTCAAATTGACAAATCCCTACGACACAAGGGTTGATTAAAGTAGTCAAATCGAAGTCAAAATGTTTCGTTTAGAATTGAACTAATTACATTACATTTGCATTAGGCGCTGGACGCAGGCCGCTACCAACCGGGCAACATGGAAAGCATTGGGGGAGGCCTATGTTCAGCCGTGGACGTCCTATGGCTGAGATGATGATGATAAATGAATTACATTAGTACTGCAGTAATCCGTGAAGTACGAGTACCTAGTAATTACTGTTTAGTGAAACTGCAGTGTAAATTTTCAAATTAATAAATTGATACCCAACTACATATTATATTTAGTACATAATTGCAGTGAAGTTAAATTACTTACTCGATTCTGAGACAATTTATTGATTTCCATTATCAGTATAGGTACTTACACTATAAATACTTACATGGATTAATATTATAAATACATGGATGTCATAAATAGTCAGATGCTGAAATTGTTCCCAGGTGAGCTAGTCGGATGATGGAGGGCGGGCCCGGCGCGGGCGTGGCGTCGCTCACCATGGACTGCGAGGACATGTTCAAGGAGATCACCAAGAAGCTGTACGGCGAGGAGGCCGTGGGCGTGGGCGTGGTGGGCGTGGAGTTCCCGGCGGCCGAGCGCGACCTGGACGAGGACCTGCGGCCCGAGGAGTCGCTCACGGCCTGGGGGCTCGCCGCGCTCATGCAGAACGGCTTCCCGCCGCCGGGGATACTGCAGGTCCGGTTGCTTTGCCTAACATTGCTCAACATTTATGTGTCGTGAGATTGGTTCAAGCTCGAGCTCGATGGAGGAGATTACAGACTCAATTTTAAAACATTATACCTATTAAAATATAAAATATCAAAATTAGTACATTCGGCCGTTTGGTGTAGTGGTTCAGAACGGACTACTATGCCGAGAGGTCCCGGGTTCGATTCCCGGCCGGGCAGAAATTGAAATGATGAATTTTAATTTCTGTGACGGGTCTGGGTGTTTTCTATATGTATGTATTTACAAAAAAAAGTATTTAATTATGTTTATATCCGTTGTCTAGTACCCATAGTACAAGCTTTGCTTAGTTTGGCAAGTTTCGGCGTAGTGTAAAATATCCAAGGATATTTATTATTATTATTATTTATTAAATACCTACAATAGTGCTATTAAGACAACCCTAGAAACGCTAAACCCTCATTCTTTATAGAGTGGTTCAAGTTGCTTTTGGTATAAACTGGTGGTATGTGCAGGCGAACTTCACGCCGCGCATCGACCCGAGCGCCGAGGACCGCTGGTCGGCGGCGGAGGAGCCGCTGGCGTGGGCGCACTCGCGCATCGCGTCCTACAACCCCGCGCAGCGCCTGTTCAAGTGCGCCGACTGCGAGTGCGTCGGCTTCATGGCGCGCATCGCCGAGCACTGGCTGGGGACGCACTCACAGGTTTTTATACTCAAATATACCGGGGTTTACCTCTGTTTCACGTGGGACGTCCACCCACAAGGTGTACCGACGACATCATAAAGGTAGCAGGAAAGCGCTGGACGCAGGCCGCTACCAACCGGGTAACATGGAAAGCATTGGAGGAGGCCTATGTTCAGCAGTGGACGTCCTAAGGCTGAGATGATGATGATGACCTCTATTTTCCTTAACACTCACTTAACCATCTACTACAACAAGTACATATGACAAAGATTATTCAAACAATGAAAGACGAAAGGTCTTCACAAAACAATTTCGGGCGATTAAGTTTGGCGGGTCACACCCCGAAAGAAAAATAAGGGATCTATCTACTTATTATACTTACCATTAAAATTGCATTGCTTTTAATTTTTTTCTTTGTTCAAGGTACTTAATTCTTGAAATTTTCTGCCGTTTGTGACGCACGTGTGTTATCATAATTATCTCTTATCAAAGATCTTTGTACAGACATCATCCTTCAACATAAGTAATTATAAGACGGATAAGATAATAAACCTTCATTAATGTTTATAATACTAACCTAAACTTCATTAATCACCAATTTATTAATCGTACTACGTGCGTATTTAACACGCTATTATTGTATGATAAAGTACTTAAAGGTATTAGGAAAAATACAGTAATTTATTTCAAAATAAGTAAGATGCCTCATTCATGTAAACAAGTATAACTGAATCATAGTTTAGTTAATAAACAAATTAAAATTTGCGTGTGCAGGCGCGCGCGTTCCAGTGCCCGGTGACGGGCTGCGGCTTCGCGTCGGGCTGGGCGCGCGGCGTGCGCTCGCACCTGGCGCGCGACCACCACTCCGACCCCGCCGCCGCCGACCACCTGCTGCGCGACAACGCCGCGCTCGACGACCTCACGCGCTACCTCAACCGCCTCAAGGCCAAGGTCCGCACGCTCCCCGCCGCCGCTCCCGCCGGCCGCGGCAGCCGAGTTAATGTTGATATTAAACGAGGACTCGTTCGCAGGTGGAACAAGCGCGAAACGAAAGGCGGAACAGCGTGGGCACCGAGACCGCCCAGGTGCAGGCGGAGGCGGGCGCGGGCGCGGGCGAGGCCGGCAAGCGCTACGCGTGCGGCGCCTGCCCCTACGCCACCGACCGCCGCGACCTCTTCACGCGCCACGAGAACATCCACCGCGACGAGAAGCCCTTCCACTGCTACCTCTGCCAGAAGCAGTTCAACCGCGCCGACCACGTGAAGAAACACTTCCTGCGCATGCACAGAGACCAGCCGTACGACTTGAACAGGATCAGGCGGGCGCAGCCGAAGCCGCAGCCGGCGGCGGCCCCGGCGCCCGCGCCGACGCAGGCGCTGCATTACTACACGAAGCCGCCGGCGGAGCCGCCGCCCCCGCCGCCGCTGGAGTTCCGGCCGGCGCCGCCCGCGCCCGCCGCGCCGCCGGGCCCGCCGCCCGCCGCGCCGCCGCCCGTCAAGCTGGAGCGCGCGCCGCTCGCCAAGGCCGAGCCCGCGCTCGTGCCGCACCCCGGCCACCCGTCGCACCCCGCGCACCCGGCGCACCCCGCGCTGCACAAGCAGGCGCCGCCCGCGCAGCCGCCGCAGCCGCCGCCCGCGCCCGCCGCCGTCGCCACGTCCTCCTCACCCGTCCGAAGAAAGGTAACGAGATAAATCACCCAAGTGAATAACTTTAGCTAAAAAGTCAGTAAAACAAAAAATAATAGAGTATGAACCTATTTGGACTTCTTCTGGTCTAAAGCACAGACGGTGGACCGGTATAGATTACTCAGTTCCACTGACAAAAAAGCGGCTGTTGTCCACAGGGCGAGCGGCGCTACGCGTGCTGCTACTGCTCGTGGTCGGGCGTGGACAACTGGTGCCTGAAGCGGCACCTCAACACGCACCTGAAGCCGTTCGCGTGCGCGCTGTGCGAGTACAAGGCGGCGCGCGCCGAGCGCCTGGCCACGCACGTGCACAAGGTGCACAACAAGAAGTCCTGCGGCAAGTGCAACTTCCTCGCGGACGACCAGCACCAGCTCGCTCACCACTTGCGGGAGACACAGTAAGACATTCTATGCCTGATAACTATCTAAAGCCCGTTTTCAGCTTTTACAATTTAGTAAGTCCCATGACCCCAGATATGAATAGGTACGAGTTCTCACTGGCTAACCGCTATCATTATTTTGGGGCTACTTTACAATAATTCATTCAAAATTAAAACATCTAACTACTTACCTATCTAGGTATTTATGCTTACTTAGTTGTGGTTTTTTATTGAAAAACCTTCTGTCCTAGCAACTGCCACACAACTGCTAAGCTGCTAGCTCAAAAGTAACTTTCAATGTTTACAGTCACATCGAGCATCGGAACCTTAAAGTGCCCACCGGCGTGGGCCGCGTGGCCAGCGGGAGCTTCAGCGTCGCAACGGCCACGGTGTCCACCGCCACCGACGCCGTCACGACCGTCGTGACCAACGGCGTCGTCGCCAACGGGGTGGTGACCAACGGAGTCGTGAGCAACGGCGTCGTGAGCAACGGCGTCGTGAGCAACGGCGTCGTGAGCAACGGCGTCGTGAGCAACGGCGTCGTGAGCAACGGCGTCGTGAGCAACGGCGTCGTGAGCAACGGCGTCGTGAGCAACGGGACCGGCGCGCCGGCGGTGGTGGCGGGCGTGGGCGTGGGCGGCGGCGCGGCGGACGGCGGCGCGGGCGCGGCGCGGCGGCGGGAGGCGCGCGCGGCGGGCGCGGCGCGGCTGTTCGGCTACCTGGAGGCGTCGGACGGCTCGGGCGACGAGTACGAGGGCGCGCTGGGCGGCGAGTTCGCGGGCGCGGCGGGCCCGCAGCACGGCGCGGCGCCGCACTACGCGCGCGACAAGGAGAACGCCGCGCCGCTGCACCACGCCGTGCACCACGAGCACTGCCTGCGCTACTAGCGGCCCGCGCCCGCCCGGCCCGCGCCGCCCAGCTGACGCCAGGCGGCCGCAGCTCGCAGGCTCGCAGGCCACGCGCCGGGTGGTGACCGTAGCATTGCGCCGGTTTCGAATGTGGCTCATTTTAAGCCGGACGAAGGAACGCTTTTCGATTCTCTTTGTGAATTTCTCTAAGACCCACTTTGTTGTTGCCGGGCCGCCGCAGCGCGGCGCGTGCGTCCTCTTCGCCGTTCGAAGTGTAGTGTTTTCACTCATTTTATACTAAGGACTCGCTCTCACGCTGAATTGAAATATTATGTAGTTAAGAATAAGCGTATTGTGAACGATTCTTGTTTATTGACGAAGACATTCCACTCGTACCTGTGAAAATTAAATAGTGTAGGGTTTCGTTCGACGGGTTCCGTCAACTCACTGAGTAGAATAGCCAGTTTTATTTACGAAAAAATTAAGATAACTTTATACATGGTAGTTGTTCGACAACTTCTGTACAAACTGTTAAATTATGAGTTATACTAAATAAAGTATTTACTATTACAATATTTTGTTTTATTATAATTATGACGACAATATAGTGATAGTGACTAAGTTTCTACTCTGCACTGGCCCTTCCTATTGTCCCGATGTACTAGCAGTGGTCCGTGGCAGTATTTATTCTGGATTAAGTGTAGGTAAATATAGATAAATCTATTAGCATGTTATCCTTGTCTTGTCAGGTACGTAATTATTTACTATGAATAATTACAATAGGTTCGAAATTGAAAAAAGATAAAGCTAGAGTACTTACTAAGGTTATTTGTGTAATGATAAGTGGTAATACCTTGGTTGTAATTATAATTGATGAAATTTAATAGAAACAGAGTAGGTATTTATTAGATATTAACAGATAGCATATCACGAGCGGACGTGATTACGTGAGTGAGGCTAATTCTACACTAATAAATATAAGTTAACAAAAAATAGGATGGTTTCACTTCACACAACACTAAACAATGGACAGATTGCATCAGAAAAAAATAATATGGTCTCCTATGGTAACTACTCCATAACAAGCTGCATTTTTGTCGCCTGCACTTTGTATGTTGTATTCGTTTGTATTCGCAACGGAAAGGATCGGACAAGAACACTACTGTTACGAGGGTTGTAATAAAACGCCCCGCTACATCGGTAATACTGGTTTATTGAGTTGGAGATTACAGAAGGTACAGACATCCGACAGATACAATACAAGTAGCAATATCACAGCGGCGGCCGGCGCGCCCACCCACCGACCACGCCACGCGGGTATGACGGCTCCGTGTGTAGCGCGGGTGCGGGAAGGGAAACAATCGAATGATACTACACACTTATAAGAGAAGTCCGCGCCCTATGCAACCATTTCATTAACCAACTCAGATATGTTGTCAAGTTAAAATATAAAATCACTAGAGAACAAGTTAAAAATGATGGGGTCCAATAATAAAATAATGCTGCTAATCTTATTTCTCTTCGATTGCAATTTTTCGTCAAGTCACAGAAATATTCAGTAACGTAAAATAAACAGCATAATATTCTGTTTCTAAACGCGCTTCTCTCATGTTACAGTCAGTTGGCACGCATGGGTCGCATTTATAAATATAATTGAGTGTTTAACTGTGTACAAAGCTTATGTTGAAACTGATAAAATGGGCAACGCGTTAACTGCGGCATGCCGAAATTATATCACATATTGAACGTATTTACACGTCCAGAAGGTGGTGCTTAGGCTGGGGTCGGTCGGTGGCTGATGAAGGCCGCCGGCGCCAAAAGTGCGTACAAAAATATTCACATCTCCCGCAACGGGCACCCGTACAAAAATATACCGTACGGGAACATACGGACGATACACACTTACAAAACTAAATCTTCCTTTACAACATCTACGATTACGGCAGGAGCCAACACTCTTCGATTCACCGTCAGACCTCTCTTTCTACGGTATGCATGTGCAGTGCGACCGGTTGTCTATGACTTGAACTCACGAAAAGTATCATCAAAAAATGAATGGAAACAGGCTAACTGTCAAAGAAACCCATAGAGAACTCGTTCATACTGCACATTAACAAAATTTACCACTCTCTTTGAGTCACCATTCGAAATGTATAGTAAAAATCTACGTACGATATTTGTGATGAATCCAAACTTTTCCCATTCAACTTATGACACTGCCAACCGTATTCACAAACAACATTCGTTTCTAGGGTATTCGTTACCAAGTCTTGTGGTTTATGGAAGTAATCACTGTCAGAAATGTCGACACCATACGGTGTGATGTTGTTTTAAGAATACCTAGGAAAATTCTGTTTATGCATACGGATGATTGAATCGCTTTACCATCCAAAAATACAATGAGCAAAATGCGTATTTATATTCAATTCTAGACTAGGGATAATATCAGAACTACAAAGATAAGGGTCACATAAGTTTCACGCCACTGGACCCGTCGATGTGGTGGCAGGACGCTCAGTCTCTCCTCAGCCGGCGCCCGGAAGCCACTCGAGCCGATAAAATATCTTCATTCCGTATTCTGCATTCTACAACTTAGCGTCGAGCACACGGCGGTCAATGAACCGCTACGCTAACGGCGGTCCCGAGCACACGCCTCGGGGGTCAATTCTGAACGATCGATACATCGAACATAGTACCTACAGAGATTCCTGGTCGAGCCGGAAACGATTTCCAAAATCAGTTCCGGAGCACCTTCGAGGTCCGCTCCGGAGCGGCCCGTTCGCTTCGACGCCGAACGGCGTCATCGGACACCCACGGTCCACCAACTACATCATAAACTACAAAGAAGGGGATACACGACAATCACATTGTACGCGTCCTCGTCCGCTTCGTCCTCTCCGTTTCGCTCTCCCCCGATCGCATCGTCCAAACGAATGCGCCTCTCATCTCAGCGGGAAAAGCCGAAAGAGCGGAATCGTCGTCCACGCCGGTGGGTCCGCGCGGGCGGAGGGCGGGGGGCGGCGGCTAGCAGGCGTCGGAGGGGCGCGGCGCGGGCGCGAGCGGCGGCGCGGGCGCGGCGCGCGGCTGCGCGTGCGGCGTGGGCCGGCGCAGCAGCGCGGGCTTGGCGGCCAGCGCGGGCTTCAGCGAGCCGCCCGTGAGCGTGAGCTCCGCGAACTTGGCCGCCACGCGCGCCGTGTTGCGCGCCGGCACCGGGCTGCCCTCCGCGCTCGCCGCGCCCGCCGCCTCGCTCGCCTCCGGGGCCTCCTCCGCCGTCGCCGCCGCCGCCGCGTCGGGCGCGGGCTCGCCGTCGGCGCCCTCGGACCTCCTGGAAAACCGATCGACGCGATTATTTATTTATTTACTAGCTTTCCGCCCGCGGCTTCGTCCGCGTGGAATTTTGTCTGTCACAGAAAAACTTTATCGCGCGCGTCCCTGTTTCAAAAACCGGGATAAAAACTATCCTATGTTCTTTCCCGGGACTCAAACTATCTCTATGCCAAATTTCATCAAAATCGGTTGCGAGGTTTAAGCGGGAAAACGTAACAGACAGACAGACAGACAGAGTTACTTTCGCATTTATAATATTAGTTGGGATTAGGTCTACCAACATTGTTACATAACAACATGTACACTTAAAAATAACAATTGTGAACAAATAACAATTAGTTCAGAACATTCTTCTTTCGTCCGTCGTTCGTGCCGTCCGATATCGCCGATCGTACTCACTTGGAGTTGGGTCTCTTCTTGAGCGTGTCGCGATTGTGCAGAAAAGTGTCGGCGGAGTCTGCGGCGGCGTCCTGCGCGGGCTCGGCGGGCGCGGCGGGCGCGGACGCGGGCTCGGGCTCGGGCGCGGGCGCGGCGTCGGCGGGCGTGGGCGTGGCGGCGGGCGCGGGCCGCAGCGGCAGGTCCAGCACCAGGTCCGGCGTGCTCTCCGCTAATCTTCTGGCGAAAGAACGATCGGTGAGTGATTTTTGGAAAAACGGGCGTTGGGTGTACTTTTTGCTCCACGTTAGTGAGAAAGGGAGAAAGTTAGATTATTTTACATAACGAGCGATGTGAACGAACGATTTTTAGTGACGACCGCGACGAAGGTGAACCGGGACCCGGTCCCGATCCACCGTGTGACATCGTCGTCCCTCAGAAGCGCGACAGAGGACAGAGCATAAATAAAATGGTACCTGCATTGGGGGGCCGAGGTGGAGGGCGCGGCGGCGGGCGCGGCGCGCGCGGGCGGCGGCGGCGCCTCCTGCAACACACGGGCAGCACTCGAGCGGACGTCTCAACGCAGCGGGCTCAAGTGGAACTGAACTCTATCATCGTACTCGTGTGTCCAAACGGAGGACAGATGTAAGTTAGTAATGACGGTAGGTACTATTACGTACTTTACAGTGCGCGCTATGATTTATTTAAGTTCCCTCAAATACCCTTGATTTTAAGATTTCAGCAAAAGCTTATTCACATTACTACATTACGAATTCTGCGTACGCAGCCTGTTTCGAAAAGCACTTTAGGTACGCGACGTGTCACGTAACAAAGTGAATAATAATCTTCTGTCGGTTTACATATACGTAACGAATAATGTAAGCAAATAAATCTTATTAATCTTAGCAAAACTTACAAAGCTCACTTCTAGGTAAAAAAATGATGAGCAAGTTGATCATAAAATAAAAATACAGTCTCAACCCCTTTACTTGTTGATCGTAAAGTATTATTGCAAAATTGTTTATGCTGATTTCTTTCCTGTATTATCCTTTTCATATAACTTTTATATAGCAATTATAATAACTTTTAAGAAGTGGCTAAAAAACTGTAAGTAAAATTATGCATATTTTTACGACACTCCCCCCCACCCCGCATCAGCACACACACAATAGAAGCTCAAATTAAACAAAACATGCACAAGTGAAACAGTTTATTGACATTATCACAAACGAACAAGCACCTCCCACCTCTCTGGCAATCCTAGTCCTTAATTATGTTAGTGTAACTCAGTCTTCATATAGGCAATGAGCCACAGGAATTTAACGCTAAACATTATCACATCCGTCAGTCAAAATACTCGTTATATCGACATTAGGCCGACATTTCTGAAATATGAACAATCCGACAGCATATCAGATTTTTGTTGCAAAATAACACACCGTCCATACGTTCAAAATTTAAATCAGTCTTCACACTAGTATACAAAGTTTGTTTAAAACCATTTACATTTCATTAACGTTATTTTCCTGTGACACTACATTAAAATGGCATTCCACAGTTGACAAAGCGCTACTTAAAAATAATCTCATAATCTGCCTTCGCCACGTATGAAATGTTTCACATCGAATACGTAAAGCAAGCACATAATATTCGAAACAAGCTCTCACAAATACTCGTGAGCGCCGGTGGCCAACTACGTGTTAGTGCAAAACGAAACTCCAAGCGCTATTTGAAGTACCGCCGTAGCGCGACCAACACGTTAGAGCAGTGGTTCTCAACCTTTTCTAGACCATTAAAAATCCATAAATTAAGTGAAACCAAAAACTAACTAAAAACTTATTATTTAAAAAGAAGACAATTTGATTTAGAAAATCAAATACGATATCAAATTAATCAAGTACCTTCGTATTAATTTTAATTTTTGAGCTCTCTATCTTCTGTACAGGTTCTGTAATAGCTTATTACTTAAACCCTCTCATGACACGCGAATGTCTATCGCTCGCGAAATTTAAAATCCTTGGCGGACCACATTTCCGTCCTTGGACCACTGGTTGGGAACCCCTGCGTTAGAGGAACGTACGGGCTGCGGTGGCGGACAAGCGGACTTTGAATTCATCACCACCGCAGGCCGCACCTGGCGTGAGTGATCACAAACAAGTGCCTTGGTCGTAATGCCGGGGCTCGTAATAACAGTCACGTAAACAAAACAGATCACATGGCTCCGAACTTCGAAACACGAATGAATATCATTCTGAATATTATAATTATTAAGTATATGCGATGGGAATAATAATGATAATAATAATCCAGGAACGATCTAGTCTGCTGTTAATCAAAGCGATATGTCACTGCGCTCCTCGATGTGATCAAAATGAAGTTTTACCAAAATACAAACTCACAAGTGGGCTCACGGGTTTGTGCGACAAAACATCACAAAATATATTTAATATAATGTGTTCAACTACCTACGTATAACTAAATGGAGTTTATATTCGTATATTACATTGAACAACCATGCATTGTGCTCACGTGATAATATAAAATACATACTATTTTATAATAAAGCTAAATCGATTGTATTAAATTAATCAGTACTGTCAATGTCGAAATACATCAAAGGAGAACAACCATTTTGGGCCCAAGTTTGTACAGAGTTGTACATTGGTAGGTTTTTGATATTATATTACGCATACATTAGGGAGTATTTTACGGTAAAAATGATAATTTTAACTGATGTCGTAAGTCGTATACAATAATAAAAACGAATTAATGATTTAATCTAAGATAACGTAAAATGGAACGTTAAAAGTCAATCGATTAAAGACTCAATACACTATACTGTCCCACCAAACTCATTGACAGGGGGGCGCCACCATCGTTCAACTATATAGTTTCTAACATGGCAAAAATCGGAACCAGCGATCCGGTATTGACGGTGGCGCCCCCTGTCAATGTCACGGGTGGGACAATTCAGTGTATTTGATCTTTAAGAAGGTTCGTACTGACAGATGACAAAACTAAAATGATTGAATGAATTAATGAATGAAAATAATTCGTTTTGTCATCTGTCAATGCAGCAATGTCACTTGCGAATCACAGATGAGACCACAGATTAGAGAGTATGTCTAAAGGATCTAAAGGATGAGACTGTTGCGAATGCTTGTTGAATTGAATTAAAACAAATTAAAAAAAGAAGAAGAAATAAAACTATCGATTAATAACATTTTATGCTATTTCTAACGGATTCTGCTTGCGATTTGGGTAACTGACGACTGGATTTTGTATAAAAGTAACATTTTTTCTAGTTTTTTCTAATTTAGTTTTCTCGAGAATGACATTAGTTAGCAACCTCAAATAAACACAATAATAAACTAGTTTATGAAGGCATAAAAAGGACATAAAATTTGTAGCTGTACAAATAACTTAGTACTGGGCCCAACGCTTCATAGAAAGTGGTTGTTCTCCTTTACAATGAAATATCATGCAAATGATAAAGCTGTAAACATAACGGCGATGAATCGATGTTATCTACACTACTTATTAGTAGATAATTAGAATTAACTCTAATAACGATAACAAACAAAACATGTTTACTTATTCCTTAAGTAAATAACATAGTATATCACGTTTCACCTATCATAGTCAGTAGGCTGAGATACGGGAGCGGCATGAGGCGGTGATTTTGTGACAGTCAAACTTTGGATTTGTATGCCCTGTCACGTCATAATATTTTATGTCGATGTCATCCCTCCCGTGCCGCTGCCATGCCTCAGGCACTGACTGATATTGATATGAGTTAAGCTGACCTAAAATATCAGTCGGAATAATTTTACATCTTTCACAGGAGGATCATGCGCCTAAATACAACAAATTAACGGCAATATTAAACGTAAAGCAACAAAAAAAATTTATTGAAATCAGTCTACGTCACATCTTCCCGTCACCGACAGTAAACAATAGCGTGTGTAATGAATGCGACGGGTAAATGTAATAAAGGCCACTGTTGTACAGTGTACAGGCTAATGTGTGTGACGGTGTGCGGTGTCAGACGGAGGTCTCTAGGAGCGCGCTCACTACCTGTGCCGCCGACTGCCGCCGCTCCACGCTGGCCGACCTACAGACAAGTATTGTTCCCGTTACACGTGCATTCGATCCAACAATGGGGCCATTCATTTATTGCGTTAGACTATTTTCACTAGTTTTTGACCCCCTTCCCCTCTATTTATTTATTTATTTTATTTAAACTTTAATGCCAAAATAAATTTGTACATAATGCGAACTTAATGCACTAAAGCATTCTCGACCAGTTTACTTTTGGGTTGAGCAGAAAAGAAATTTATAAATTTATCTATCAGTCAGTCTGAACTGACCGAATCTCGGGTCATGAGCTTTCGCTCGATACCCGCACCAACCAATAACTGAAGAACCTCGACTGACCCTCTATAATAACTGATAAGAAAAAATAAGAGCAGGCCGACCCCCTCCCCCCTGTTTAATATTCATTACGCAAGAATCTAAAAGAAAAAGTGAATAAGGTACACGTTTGACGACTAGTACACAAGCGAGAAATTCCAGGGAGGCGCAGTGCGAGTGGCGCGGCTCCGTTGCCATGGAAATGGAAATCGCATCCAAGTGAAACTCGGCACGTGCGCTTTTCCAAAGTATAATTTTAACTTAGTGCATTTTTGTGATTTTACGTAGTAACAATCGACCCCCCCCCCCCCCTCATCCTCCTAAATCGTCTTACGTAGTAAATAAATGGCCCCCCGAAATTTTCAAACAGTTAAACAAATAAGTATAGACTTTATTTCGAACAGAATTTAGACACTTACCGGTAGTTTCCCGTTGAGTTCGAATCTTGCCAATACCCACTCTCGCCGTCTTCGCTCAGTTCATCTGGAAACGTACAGTGAGCTGTATAGTGATTCCACTTGTAGGTATGACCACAGAATAATAATAAGTACTACGTACAGAAGTTTTACTTCGCGAAGGTATTTAAAAAAATGTATGCTCAATGTCATTAACAATATGGTGTAATTTAGCCTGTCTCAAGAGTCGAGCACCATTTTGTTGACAAACGTCAGTGATCGCTACTGCGCCGAAGCTATAGGGCTGACTTCGGTAAAATGATGTGACGTGAAATGCCAAACTGCTGAAAATGGCGGAGGAAATACTTGATTTATCATGAATAATATTAACTACTTATTTACCTCTCAGTGTCTTGAGGCAACTTAAAAAAGTACATTCTGGGTTTATTTAGGCAGTTAAATACTGCACAGTATTTAGTACACCATTTTCTTAATTTTCTTCCATCATACACAAGAATACGCGTACGTGAGTCAATGTTCGCTCGTATGTGAGGCCTTGTCGAATAGTATCCTGTAGGTGGGCCATCGTGCGTGTTTTGTTTACGATGTAAACTCGCGGAGATGAACAGGCCCGGTATGACTCGACTCGGTAGAATAAGCAACGATATGATTGATTACCGTCGTCTTCGTCGTAGAGCGAGAGGTCGTCGCGCGCGTCCGGCTCGTCCGCGGCCGGCTCCAGCTCCTCGACGCTGGACCTGCAAAACGTGTATCATGATCATTCGACCGCTCGGAAAATCTTTTCTCGGGTTTGAAACTAATTCGACGGCCATTCAAATTGATATTGAATGAAACCACAAGGGTGCGTCCATTAATTACGTGAGACAATTTTTTCAATTTTTTAATTCCCCGCCCCCCTTGGTGAGATTTCATGAGATTTTGCCAGACCTTCTCCCCCACCCCGTAAGAGATTTTCCAAAATGCCTATTTGCAATGTAAATGAGATAATCCATGCTTCGAAAATATTAGATTTTATAAAAAAACCCAACCTGCGAAAAAAGTTTACTTTTAGTACAATTTTTAACTATCAGTTTACATTTTGTTAATATTTAAGCATTGGTAGCAAACTGCGGATCTAAAAACTGGGCCTGTGTTCACAAATGCAGACGGAGGATTTATCTCTGTTTGTTGTGGAAAAAGAATATGTTATATTTCTCGACACCCCCCCTCTCCCCCACGTGAGATTAAGTGAGGTTTTTCGGGACCCCCTCCCCCCCCTTAAAAGTCTCACGTAATGAGGGCTATCGTTTTAGCGCTCACCAGTTAGCGCCACTGTAGAGTAAGGTCCTGTCACTTGCTAGTAGCGAAGACAGTGGCACCAACTGGTGAGCGCTTAAGTGGTAGGAGGACTATCGCATTTGCACTCATCAAGATGGCGTTTCTGTAGAGTAAGGTCCTGTCAATCGCCAGGGGTGCCAACTGTTAAGTATAAAAACGACGATTCTCGAAAACAGCGGCGCGGGAGCGGGCAACGAGCGGGCGGCGCACTCCAGTCTAGCGGCGCGGCGTCTTTTTTTTGCCCACAATACATCGAGCGTTAGGAATAAATTTGAATCGAAATAAAATTGTCGCCGTTGTTCAGACATTTCGGTCGCGAATAAAAACAAATATCTCGACATCACAACCCCGAACACAACACTTCGCCGTTAAAGTGCCGCACGAGCTGCCCGCTTGTTTGGAGAACGGGTCTGCGTTGCCCGCCCCGATTCGAGGCTGAGGTTTTAGAATGGTTCTGCGAGTGACCGTGGAGTCGAGGACGGGGAGTCATTCGTCAGTGCTATGTCACTATTAGGGAGGGTAGAGGGGGAGGGTACGTACGCGCGCACGTAGAGCGCGTGCGGGTGCAGGTGCTGCGGGAACACGGCGGCGTGGTGCTGGATGGTGCGCTTGACGAGCTCGTTGAGCAGGTTCTGCGCCGCCACCTGCGCGCCGCCCTCGCCCCAGGCGGCCAGCAGCGTGGGCCCCAGGCAGATGGCCAGGTTCCACGCGTCCATCATGTTGCGGTCGGCGTGCTCGGCCAGGTGCGCCAGGAAGGCGAACAGGTAGCGCAGCACCAGCACGGCCGGCGCCGGCAGCGCGGCCAGCACGTCGCGCAGGCGCCGCACGAAGTCCGCGTCGTCCGGCAGCGCCGCCACGCGCAGCAGCACCTCCTGCAGCTGCGGCGGCAGCAGCGGCGGCCGCAGCTCGCGCAGGTACATCTTCAGCAGCCCGCACACCTGCGCCGCAAAATATAACAGAAGGTAAACTCATGTATGTACCTCGCTTTGCATACCTCTCTCGCTCGCACGCTCGGCCGTCGCGCTAGGGTTGTCTTGTCATGTGTTGCGTTTATTTCGTTACTAGCTTTCCGCCCGCGGCTTCGCCCGCGTGGAATTTTGTCTGTCACAGAAAAACTTTATCGCGCGCGTCCCTGTTTCAAAAACCGGGATAAAAACTATCCTATGTTCTTTCCCGGGACTCAAACTATCTCTATGCCAAATTTCATCAAAATCTGTTGCGAGGTTTAAGCGGGAAAGCGTAACAAACAGACAGACAGACAGAGTTACTTTCGCATTTATAATATTAGTTGGGATGATAGAAAAATGTTACTCTTAATACTATGCAAGAAAGACAATAACAGATATCCACGTATACTTATTTATATTTAGTACGTTATTATAGTAATAGTTTGCAAACAAATACACGAGAAGGAAGTAGTATTTAGTTGAGTGGTTGACACTATTATCCAACTAATATTATAAATGCGAAAGTTTGGATGTCTGGATGTTTGTTGCTCTTTCATGCAAAAACTACTGAACGGATTTTGATGTAACTTTACAGTATTATTGTTTATAACCCTGAATAACATATAGGCTATAATTTATGACGATCTGTGACAAACTAAATTTCACGCGGGTGAAGCCGCGGGCAAAAGCTAGTTATCCAATAATTCCTAAAACCTCTCTAAAACAATTCGATATTCCTAATAATTTAGTTGGCTTTCAATTTCAATTGAAATTCAAATAAATAACTTACTTACCTCCCCAAATCAACTGGTAATTTAAAAAATGAAAATTCGGTATTTAATGATGAGTTTAAGCAACCAAATACCGAACAATTATAATACGACTTTTTCTGTTCACTCATTTTCGTCAATTTCGCAAAACAAAATAATATCACAGGCGGTTGACCGGCGCGTGACTCAAGCGAACCACAGCGAACGTGTGGCGAATGTCTGTCGCGCCACGTCGCGCTCGCATTCGTCCAAGACAGTCTTGCTAGAGCGGTGTCTATGTGTGCGTGGCTCGAGCGCGTTTAGTATGGAGTTTGTCTTCTGTTATATTTTGTGCCTGCGCCGCGAACACAAATGAGTGGAAGTGATAGCACGGTGTCTCGAGACGAAAGTCTTCGAGCAGTGTGTGTTGCCAGTGTTGATTTATGGATCTGAAACGTGGTCGCTCACTGTGGGCCTCATGAGAAGGCTCGAGGTCACCCGAAGGGCGATGGAGCGGGCCACGCTCGGAGTTTCCCTGCGTGATCGAATCAGAAATGAGGAGATCCGCAGGAGAACCAAAGTGACCGACGTAGCTCGCAGAATCGCTAAAACCGAGTGGCAGTGGGCGGGACACGTAGCTCGTAGAGACGATGGCCGTTGGGGCAGAAAAGTTCTCGAGTGGCGACCACGGGCTGGAAGACGTAGCGTGGGCAGGCCTCCTACTAGGTGGACCGACGATCTCGTAAAGGTCGCGGGAAGAGCCTGGATGCGGGCAGCGCCGGACCGTGCATTGTGGAAAACCTTGGAGGAGGCCTTTGTCCAGCAGTGGACGTCATTTGGCTGAAACGAACGAACGATAGCACAGTGAATACAAATGAGTAGGTCATCTTCATAGAAACGCACCGAGCGCGGTTTGTATGTGAGCGCGCCAACACGTATGCGGCGCGCACGCAGCGTGGATTAGCGGGGAGCCAGTCGTGGTTGCGCCCAATTTTGTCAGTGTGTGCGTGCGCGCCGCATACGTATATTGGCGCGCTTACATACGAACCGCGCTCGATGCGTTTGACGTTGACATTTGTATTTACTCTGGTGATAGGAAACGTACTCACCGAGTTGATGTCGGACGCGTCGCGCACCGTAGCCAGGGGATCCTCGCCGCGCTCGAAGGCGGCGCGCAGCGCTTGCATCTCCACCTGCGGAAACACAATCAATTGGGATGATAACTGGGTAATGAAATCGAAATTCTATTTAGTCCGTCAGACAGATAAAAAAAAATTAACACGTTTTTTAATTTTTTTTTTCATAATCGAATTCATTACAGTATTATATTAAGTTGAAATGTCTCGTGACGTCACTTTTGAGTAAAAAATCTACTGAAAAGTAACGTGACGCAACATTTAAACTCGATGTAGCACTGTTATTATTTAATTATGTAAGAAAATAAAAAATACGAGTGTAATATCTGTATGACGGAAAAATAATTGAAATTTTGTCATCTGGCCTATTGAGAATTTGAGACGAGTTCGCACAACGACCTCGAGCGTCATCATTATCATCGTTTCAGTAACAAGAGGTCCACCGCTGTTCAGAAATCGATTACGACATCACTAGTGAGCGCGCACATCACTACGCACGAATCTGACAGATAACGGTTGCGATAGCGCCCGGCGCCTACACCACTTGACTACCATTCCTCTTACCGCGAACATCAAATATTTGTATACGTTATTTCATGTTATAAACGCTGAGTATCGAAGAAACCGAGTTTCAATCATAAATACATCACATACATCTACAACCACTGAACGTAGACCTCCCCCACCGATTTCCACATCGCTACCTTCACGAGGTCGTGAACGTGATATAACACTATTTAAATGTAATGATCGTGACCTGCGAGCCGGACACGCGGAACACGCCCTGGTGGTTGAGGCCGTAGGTGGCGATGACGCGCACGCAGGACGTCAGCACGAGCGGCAGGCGGTGGTCCAGCGGCGCGGCGAAGCGGCCCCGGCGCAGGCGCGCGGCGGCCCGGCGCGGCGGCGACGGCGGGGACGCGGGCGGCGGGCCCGGGCCCGCACCCACCGCCAGCCGCGCCCGCGCCGCCGCCGCCTTGCTCTCCAGCCGCGCCAGCCGCCCCGCGCACGACACGTACGCGCGGAACTTCTGCAATGCACACCGAACGATCGGTATAACGTCTCCGGGCCGCACAGTGTGTTATGGGACTGTATAATCGGACATTCTCATTTATTTGATGAACCGTATAGAGCTCAGTTATACAAACATGATGGTAAAACTCCCGTTTGAAAATTTCACGTAGTTTTCGAGGTATAGCCTGACCAGAAACATAAAAACCCTCGCCATGTTGCGGAAAACTAATGGTACTAATTTCTTTTAATGGCGACAGTAACTGAAAACTTCATTGACATGTCACCTTGCATGTCAGTCTATTACTGTCAAAGTGTAAACAAACTTTATTTTAAATGTGCGCAATTGATTTTGTGAATTAAATTGCTACAATCTTTATATAGTCGTAAAAGAAAAGTGGTTCACAATGTGTTAAAGTATTTGTCGAAGAGAAATACTAAGGGTTCGGACATTATTTTCATTGAATAATGTTTCCGACAAAGGTTGTCAAATTGACTGACATGTTTATCGTATAGTACAGTCCACTATGAAAATTAGCTGTGGTTTGTTTCAACTACCTATTTTAATTTTTTTTGTCACTTTTTAAGTGTTGAATTTTATGGAATTGGGAAAGAAGTGCCGAGTTTGAAGCGTTCATGAGCAGACATTGCAGTTGAATATTCAAGTTCTGAATTTGATTATTGATGAATAATAAGGGAGAGTCCGCTAATTTGGACCAGTTTTTTTCAATCCCATTTTACACATAGTTTTCTTTTATTTTTGCTAATGTCCATGGTATATAATAAAAGATACATTATTCAACTTACTATTTCATAAGTATTAATTAACATGATTGTTGTATATTTAGCACAAATCAACAAAGTACGAGTTCAGAGCTTCGGTCCAATTTAGCCAACCGGTTGGATAATTTGTACCACAGGGTTACTAAATTGGATTTCAATAAATTTCAAGCCTATAAAAAAACTATGGCAAAATATTATACGATACATTCTTAACAAATTAGGAAACGAAAAGGAACAGTAGTTAATAACATAGACAATCGATATTGTTTTACACGTTATCACGATTTTGAGTACAAGTTTTGTAATTCCAATTATCGTAACGCACACTTGTACCTAATCTACTTTGCCAGTCTTTTGCTTTCATTTATTGTTAGTCAAACATAACTACGCTATTATAACTTCAAAACATGATTTACTAAAAAAAATTTCAAAATCCTTTGGTAAAGTTCCATACAACTTGGTGTGGTACAATTTAGCCGACTAGGTGATAGTGCTTTTAAAAAATTGGTAAAAAATATAGCTTATAAATACCGAAAAATGTTTCAAATAATTGTAATCCACACTAATTTACGCTTCTAAATAATATATTAGAAACACCCTGTGATTAAATTTAACAAAATTACAAACTAAACATGTATTGTCAAAAGTTACTTAAAAACAATGAAAAAATACTTTTCAAAATAAAAAACACGTTATTGTTGTCACGGCAAAAACCACATGGCCGATATTAATTTATTTTAGTTGTGTATCGCTGAGTGTTGCAATTACAGACATTCAATAAATACTTTACGAAATATGAGGGTGGTACAATTTACCCGGCGGTACAATATACCGAACTCTCCCCTAAAATAAATCCTACTAGCTCGATTGATGGTTTCATTTAATTTATTTAAACCAGGTTACCTATAATAATAATTTTTCGTTAATTTATGAAAATATCAAATTAACCCGTAATCCTAAGTCCTGATACATAAAGTTAGCCTATTAATTTAACACAGGTACGACTGTACTCAGTGTTGCACTATCAAATGCAATTGACGCGCCTCTATGCCAGGGTTTTTATGTTCCTGGTCAGGCTATATAAAAATTCAAAGTTACCTATTTTTTTACTTCATAATTAAGCAAAAATATTCTCTCTCGGTAACTAATAAAATTTTATTCAGAAATGTTATAATACTTCATAGAGCCCTTAAAACTACACGTAATAAGCGCTTCGTAAACGCATTCAGTTAATTAGGAAAAATGATTTTAGTGATTTTTGTTTTTATTTTTTTTCTCAATTATCTATATATATAAAAATGAAACCCGTTTCGCGTTGTCACGGCATCACGTGTGAACGGCTGAACCGATTTCGATCATTCTTTTTTTTAAATGTTTGTGGAAGTCCAAGGATGGTTCTTACGGAAAAAAATATTAAGAAAATCTCTACGCTAAGGCGGTACGAAGTTCGCCGGGTCAGCTAGTACCTTAATATATGCAAACATTTTTAATTGCAAGATATAGTCTGATATTTAATCTAATTGTATAAAAAAATCAGCTTTAAATTCCGTGATATAACCAAATTGAAAATACAACATTTCTGAATTAAATGTTATTTTATTAGTTAACGAGTGAGAATATTTTTGCGTAATTTTTAAGTAAAAAAATAGGTAACTTTGAATTTTTATACCGCGAAAACTACGTGGAATTTTCAGACGGGAGTTTTACAATCATGCTTGTATAACTGAGCTCTATACGGTTCATCAAATAAATGAGAATGTCCGATTATACAGTCTCATAACATACTATGGGCCGTCGGAACTCGTCGACGGGCAGCGGCGACTCACCGCGAGGTAGTAGTCCTCCTGGTCGCGGGCGGCGGCCTCGTCGGGCAGCGGCGGCAGCGCGGCGCCCGCGGCCGCGCCGGCGCCGAACAGCCCGCTCACGTCCCAGTGCGCGTCGCCGCCCTCCATCTGGGGATAACGATTCGACGATTATAAATAACTTGAAAAAATCGAACTGCCTAAGGCGGGAATTGAACCCACGACCTTCCGCTTGCCGAGCGACTGCTCTTCCAACTGAGCTACTTAGACACTGGATGAACCCGTCGAAATTTTCAAGTGTAATACGCTGTTACAGCTAGCGTTTGTTTCATCAATGTTAAGTATACCTACCCTACATCTAACAGAAATATTGTTGCAAATATTTTCAAGTTATTTATAATTTTCAAATTAGTTTGAGATGCGACTCTAAACGCTAAAAATTTAATAACGATTCGACGCTCGTCACTTCGCTCGAATGAGAAAACATCATAAAATATGAACCGTCGACGAGGTCGACGCATGATCGCTTTAAAAACAATTTAGGCACAATATTGTCATACTCGGTCCCGCCCACAATTTTGTCTTATGTCTAGTCCCTTATTTGAAAAGAAACAAATGACACAATATGGCGAGGGATCCAGTCGCTGCGAAGAAATATAAGCCTTATGACGTTCTTGCGTCAAGCGTCTTGTACGGTAGGTACTTGTACCAGGCCTGTTCATCTCCGCGAGTTTACATCGATAACAAAACACGCACGATGGCCCACCTACAGGATACTATTCGACAAGGCCTCACATGCGAGCGAACATTGACTTACGCTCGCGTATTCTTGTGTACGGTGGAAGAAAATAAAGAAAATGGTGTACTAAATACTGTGCAGTATTTAACTGCCTAAATAATAATAAAAACACAGAATGTACTTTTATAAGTTGCCTCAAGACACTGAGAGGTAAATAAGTAGTTAATATTATTCATGATAATTCATGCCAAATCATGTATTTCCGCCGCCATTTTCCGCAGTTTGGCACCTCACGTCACATCATTTTACCGAAGTCAGCCCTATGGCTTCGGCGCAGTGCCGATCATTGACGTTTGTCAACAAAACGGTGCTTGACTCTTGAGTCAGGTTTAGCCTTACACTTACACCATATTGTTAATGACATTGAGCACACATTTTTTGAAATACCTTCGCGAAGTAAAACTTCTGTACGTAGCACTTATTATTATTCTGTGCTTGCACTTTGAGCCGCGACGGGCACGGACCTGCTTGACGAGCTCGGCCTCGGCGGCGTCGAGCGTCTTGGCGCTCTCGCGGCACTCGGCGCGCAGCTGGCGCGCGCCGGCCTCCAGCTGCTGCAGGCGCAGCGCCAGCTCGGCGGCGGCGGCGGCGCAGGCGTCGTCGGCGGGCGCGGCGTCCTCCACCAGCGCGCCCATGTCGGCGTCCTGCTTGTCGGGCGGCGCGCCCTGGCAGTGGAGATGGGTTATACTAGGTAAACTTGATACTAGGTGCACCTATTCCTAGTATTTATTAATACTCGATCCGAATACCTATTCCACCTGGTACGTAGTAATTTAGCATACTTGACGCGACTGGTGCGGACTGATCCACGTAATATGACTTTAAAATACAATTTTTTTTTTTAAGATACGACCGTAGTATGAATAATGTAATTTGAAATTGAATAATAATTCCTCCCTTCATACTTCAACAGGCTTAGGACGGTCAACTTAAAAGTTGGCGTATTTAAAAGATATCAATTTCATAAAAATATTTACATATTTTTTCTTATTTACATGAATATGGTTTGACTATGTTTGTGTGCGTTTGCTTCGTCGCGCTCAAATTTGTTCGGTCAGACAGAGACGGAGTGAATCTCTACGTTCGCATCGCACATAAGCTCAGCGAGAAATACTAGATGCGCGTAATACACGACTACGGATTACGCAATAATAACCTCTATCACTTCAATGATAGGGTCGGAAATCGTGTAATTTATAAAACACTAGGTGGATCAAGTCAACAGGTGCCGCCTAGTACTGTAAAATACCTAGCGTGTGGATCCGTTCCAGTGAATACGTGTCATCTGTACCTGGTAGGGCAGCGGGCGCGGCAGCGCGAAGGCCTGCGCGTGCGCGTCGAGCACGCGCTGGCGGTCGGCGAGCGCGTCGAGCGCGTCGGCGGCGCCGTGCAGCGCGCGCGCCGCGTCCGCCGCCGCCGCCGCGCGCGCCGTCTCGCCCGCCGCCGCCGCGCGCACCGCGCGACCCACCACCGCCTCGAACCCCACCTCCGTGCACTGCGGGCGGGCAAACTATCTTAATATACGGAAGGAGGCTATGGCGAAGACATCAGAAAAACACTTGCAGCTACGCGATTTGCAAAGAAAACACGACTGAAAATGAGCATACCTGTTCATCTCCGCGAGTTTACATCGAAAATAAAACACGCACGATGGCCCACCTACAGGATACTATTCGACAAGGCCTCACATACGACCAAACATTGACTCACGTACGCGTATTCTTGTGTATGATGGAAGAAAATGGTGTACTAAATACTGTGCAGAATTTAACTGCCAAAATAATAATAAAAACACAGAATGTACTTTTTTAAGTTGCCTCAAGACACTGAGAGGTAATTATGTAGTTAATATTATTGATGATAAATCATGTATTTCCTACGCCATTTTCCGCAGTTTGGCACCTCACGTCACATCATTTTACCGAAGTCAGCCCTATAGCTTCGGCGCAGTGCCGATCACTGACGTTTTTCAACAAAATGGTGCTTGACTCTTGAGACAGGCTAAATTACACCATATTGTTAATAACATTCAGTATACATTTTTTTAAATACCTTCGCGAAGTAAAACTTCTGTACGTAGTACTTATTATTATTCTGTGGTATTAATAAAAACTGAAGCTCCAGTAACTTTAGTGACATAGCGTACAATATTGTCATTCATCTATCAGCTAGTAAATTATTAATCGCTAAATCGTAACAAAATAATTTTGCTATTATAAAACCGTGAGGCGGCAGCGGTCAATCTGAAATATATACTGAAACGAAGCCCCACCAGCATGATGTCGGCGATGTCGTCGAGGTAGTAGCGCTGCAGCGTGGCGTTGGCGGCCTCGAGGCTGAGCGCGTAGTCGGCGCGCGCGCGCAGGGCCTTGGCGCGCGCCTCGCTGTAGCGGGCTCGCCTCTGGAACCACACAACATTTACACCTTATTGAACCACGCAAATTGAACTGACTTTTTTTTTATCCACAACGAGGAAGCTCTTGGCCTGTATCTCACCTGATGGTAAGTGATGATCAGGCCGAAGGTGGAAGCGAGCTTCACCCGGAATCCTCAACCACAGAGGAACTGGCTATCTTACCTCTAACTGCCGAAACACAACAATGCTGTTAACATTGTTGTTATGGCGACAGATTTAGGTAAGATGGTGGTAGCTAGCCAGGCGGACCTGGAACAAGCCCTACCACCAACCAAACCGAACAGAAAATTCTGCACCCACTGGGAATCGAATCCGGGACCTCTGCGTCTGAAGCAGGTGGTCTAACCACTAGACCACAGAGGCGGTTAAACTTAACAGTCTATGTACCCAACGCCGGTAAGTATGGGCCCGCGACGTCGCCGGGCGAGTGTGATGAGGCTACCTTGTCTCGCTCCTTGTCCACGGCCTTGAGCTTCTTGTGTCGCGGCGGGGAGGCGGCGGCGAGGCGCGCGCGCTGCTCGGCGGCGTGGCGCAGCTTGAGCGCGGCGGCGCGCCAGTCGGCGGCGGCGGCGGCGTGCGCCTTCCCGGCGGCGCCGGCTTCGGCCAGCGCTGCGCCCACTTCCTCGTGACGCTCAGCCACTGGTGAGAAGTAACAATCTCAGTGATAAGTCATACTATTTAACTTCACTTCTTCTGGGATCGTGTAAAATATTATTCATAAATTGTAAAAAAATAGATAGTTTTTTAATTTTTTATGATGAAACATGCCAGGAGCCAAGTTAATCTAAGGGCTGTTTTTCAATCGTCGGATAACTTTTAACTGAAGAATAAGTTTGGCACATTGCAGTATGGGAAATATGACAAAATGACAAGTTTATTATTCAGTTAAAAGATATCTGACGATTGAAAAATCAGCCTTAACTGATAGATTTTGACAAGTTAAATTTGTCACGCGCGTGCATGACGGCAACCTAAATTCGCTTATTTCACGGTAGGGCCGCGTGCCCATGAAAACAGTCTACTTTCCCCGCCTCAGGGTTTATGCCATTGAACCTAGATGAAATCGCTCGAAGATAGTGGCCCCGATCGGAGATCCCACAGGTTCACTGCGTGGCGTATTTAGGGTAAGGTGGGGCACAATGAAACAAAAAAACGTTTTTTGTTCATAGAAACAAAATATCTTACTATTTTAATAAACTCTTTTCAAGAAAATTTACATTAGCTATCCCTTTAATAATCAACAATATCAAACTACATGTTTCTATAAGTAATCTTAAATTATTGGCACTTTTTCGAGATCAATTTTTTGTTTTACTGTGCCCCAGATCTGGGGTACAGTAAAACTAGGGTAGGGGTACTATGAAACAGATTGGGGCACAGTCCGTAAACACTCTTCGCACTTTGTAGTTGGGCGTATATCGCACGACCTGTCCCTCTTCTTCTCGGTTTTCCTTTTTTTTCTTGAAATACCTATACAATGTGCTAAAATTAACATTTTTCAGATTTTCTGCTTCTCATAAGTTCATATCTGCTTCATTAGGAAGCCCTATATCCGTTTTTCTTTTCCGGTTACGAACCATTGTGGTGTTTTCTAAAAACAAAAAACTTATCTTACACTGAAACATGTTTTACTGTGCCCCGTTTCACTGTACCCCATGACCCCCTTCAATAACACAAAAACATATAACATTCTTTAGGTTATAAACACCGGCCTTCGTCTGATGTCAATATTACAAGAAATATGCAAGAATTATTAAAAAAATAGCCATACATACCTTTGGTAAACAGTGTACTAATAAAATCGAAATCTTTTTCGTGAAAAAAGATACGAATTACTTTCAAAAATCAGTTTTTTTGCAAGAATTCAACAGGCAGCTTTCAAATTGAGAAAAGACAACTGCACCAAGATGGCAGTGCGAACGCTTAATAAAGCAGTGTGGCCAGTAAAAATAAATTGATAAAAAGAGGTAGAAATATTAAACTTGTTTTACTGTACCCCGTGTGTCACTGTGCCCCCTGTAACCCTACTAGTCTGTAACTCCATGCGTTTATTCATATTCATATTCATTTTATTCACTTCGGTCCTTTTTAGTCGAACAATAAGATTGTAATATAACTATTGAACAGGAATTATATTCAATTGTGTTGGGATATTTTCTTGATAATTGAATTCCAAGATTATTTTATTCTATTGGTGTTTCTACTTTTCTATAAATGTAATTATAAGGGTTCCGTTTTTTGCCATTTGGCTACGGAACCCTAAAAATGGCTAGACATAGCATATAGCATAGACTCTATGCCAAGACTCTAAAAGTAAGCTTACACAATCTTGATTTTTACAGGATCAAAGGACCACAGAGCTTAGTTTTGACATGATACGCAAGGGTTACTTTTATCTTTTTGAGATAAAGTATTCTAAGGACGGATTAGCGAGCTGGCAAAGGGCAGGGCACATAGTACGCAGAACTAACGGCCGATGGGGCCGCAAGGTTCTGGAGTGGAGGCCACGTACCAGAAAACGCAGAGTGGGACCGACGAACTGACAATGGTAGTGTTGTATGTGTATTCATAAGACATATTATACTATACTTACTATTACTTTGCACGTATATAAACTGTTGCATCATGTTAAATAAACGAGTATTTATCCATCAATCGTCTTGTTACTATCTCAACCTCATATGGCGACCGTGACAGGACTCCGCGGCCGGTGTTTACAAATTCCTTAATCCATATAAGGACGCGCGCTCCACGATGCATTTACAATATTGCATTCAACCTTTGTACTCGACGAGATTAACAGTTCTACTTGTTTCAACTAATTATCAACATGGGTTCAAGTCAAACTAAAGACGACGTCATTAAAGTCAAAGTCAAAGTCAAAATTTCTTTATTTGTTTGGACTAATAAATAGTTCTTACAAATCGTCATTTTGCTCTTAAGGAGCCTCTACATGTCTCATAATCTTTTTACCCTACCAACGCTTCGAGACCAACATTTGGCAATGCTGAGAAGAAGCGCCGCAACAAACTCAATCACCACACTATCCGCCGTTATCGTAAGATACACAGTAAAACATGCCTTCAGACAACTCTAAAACATTATCCATATAAATTGCCATTCAAATATGTAAACCTTCGCGGCTCCGCGCTAACTGACCACCGACCCTTGTCACAGGATAGTTTTTGTCCCAGTACAAAAATGCACATCTCGCAATCGCAATGCAGTTCTTTTAATAAAGTTGTAAATAAAGGAATGTTGTTAAACCGATTAATTTATAACCGTCTATATAACGACATCGTCATAAATATAATTAGTTAATTAACGACATTTATTATGAACTAGCTGACCCGGCGAACTTTGTTCCGCCTTAATGGCAATAAATAAGCAGACTTTTTTTTTAATTTCGAACGGGATAAAAAGTATCCTATGTCCTTCTCCTGGCTCTAAACTACCTCCCTGACAATTTTCAGCTAAATCGGTTCAGCCGTTCTTGAGTTATAAGTGGAGTAACTAACACGACTTTCTTTTATATACAGTGTGAGTCACGTTAAAGTGTACATATGAAAATNTTTTTATTATTGTTAGAAAATGTAACTTTGTAAAATCATTATAAAACACATACTCAAATTTGGTGAACTTGTTCAGTGTACCGTATAGATGCGCCCATTAAAAGGAATGTAGCTAGTTTAGAAGGACCCTGTAGTAGGTCTGTGAAAAATAGTGGCAACTAGCCTATTATTATATTCCTAATCTTGCCAGGGTGTTCAAGCCACTTACATGGAAATAAGTTGGATTTTCCCTGTGTGACAACGAAAATAGTATGATTGACTTTACTGTTGAACAAATTGAGCATGTGTTTTCATTTGTAAATGTATACACAAGCCTTTCCTTGATTTCACAAGTAAGGAATCAGTTGAACAATGGATGACCATTTATTTGGGTACTGGATGGGGATTACAAAACAAAACTTCCTTCTATTACTAGAAGATGTTAGAACAACACCGTGGTTTATTAGGTCTGTTTGACAATTTGAATTGAAGATTAGGTCTTTTTGACTTTACTAGAAGTACCGCGTAGAACATTAGAAAGACTGATGCATTCTGTAAGAGAAATTTTACTGCAAGATTTTGTTCCACGCAACTTTGGTTCGACGCCCCCAGTGACGCAACAGTTTTAAGTTCGGAAGGACGCCCGTGCGCATCAGCGGTGTGTTCTTTAATTCGGAAACCATATAAGCGTTTGTTAATTTCCAAAATCAAGTGAATCTAGTGAGTGCGGGATCCATCCCCTATGGAACTATGGTCTTTTTGATCAATATGTGCTAATACTTACTTCACCAGCAAACTGCATTTCGGAGATACGCCGGGCCCGGCTAAGCATGCGGCTGGCACTGAGAAGAGGTTTGTTCGCCGTTTGTTTTGAATATTTAGTATAGCTAACACTTGGGATAAGTCATTTGACACGAGAACAATAAATTACTAGAACATGATACCTGTGAGTGTCATGTGCAAGTGGAGACTCCGCATCAACTAGCACCACATTGGCAAGAGTCGAAATGCTAATGGGTGTTGTCTGCATAATTTTCATCATCATCGCCACTCTCTATTTGGTGAAAAGATGTATGGCTCGGGGACGTAAAGCCATGGCCAAGGAATCGGCGAAGATGGCAGCGGCGAACATCCCAACGACACCGACGGCGGCGGCTCAAACCAACCCTGCGTTCATCCCATGAAGAATAGAGTAGTGGAGTGTAGTAGTGTCAATGTTGGGTGTTGTGCCCAAATCATGAAGTGTGCTGTGAATTGGCTACAAAACAAAATTTGCAGATACATTTCAAATGTAGCACATGATGTTGATGCGCTGCCACATATTTCTAAAAGCAAGGTCATAAACAGTAGATCATACGTCTAATCTGTTGAAATATGTTTCTATTAATATCAAAATAATTAAATACTTTCCTACTTCATACTAGCGCCATCTAGTAATAAGAATATGTATTAATATGAATGAATATTTGTGTTAATTAAAAATAAATAAATATTGTCTATTCTCAACCTAAAACTCATTCGTTTTATTACGTTATAGGCCTAGTGCAGAAGTTTAATAGAATATTACAGTAAAATCGTATTGTGTATCAAAAATAAAGTTATAATTTTTATTTTATTTTATTGTCGTCAGAAAGTTATTTAGTGAATGTGCCGAAGTTGAAAGGGCGCGAGAACTACGATGACTGGGCGTTCGCGGCAAGAAATTTTATCATCTTGAAAGGCATACATCGACGCAATTCCTGTCGATTTAAATGATGCAGAAGACAGAAAAGCGAAAGCAAAACTCATCATGACGATTGATCCCAAGTTATATGTGCACATCATAAATTAAACCAAAGTCAAGGACTTGTGGCAGAAACTCCAGAGGTTATTTGATGAATTCACAAGAAAAATCAGTCTATTTCGAACACTAATACGGTAATGGCGGTAACATTGTTCCGCGTTTTCCTACACCCCAAGTCCAAGTTGCTGATCGTTGCAATACCCCTTGCACTGTTTCACATCGTATTGAAGGCAACCAAGGGACCAATACTATATTTATTGGAACATTAAGTTTCAAATTAAATACCAATAGAGACCTGGTTGTGG